CCCCCCGATTTGTTACAGCAGTGACGGTTTCACCGTCGCCACCGCCACCACCGGCCTCCACTCCGGCCAGAATCGGACCCAAAACGACCGGCACATCCCCGCCGTCGAACCCCAACCCTCCCCTGCCGTCGCCAGCAGCTCCAGTCACCGGAAAACGCTCGGAATCACCCCGATTTTGATAGAATTTCTCCGGCTTCGATCTCTGTCGTCCGGCTACCGATTCTGACGAGTGAGGTATGGATTTTCAACTATTTTTCGTGCTCTAGCTGATGGTTGGGTAGGATTGCATCAATTTCTAACGTAGGTAGTTCGATTTTGGATTCAAAGTTGGTCGGTTTTCAATTTGAATTTTCTGCCACTTTTTGGGGTATGTCCAAGAACAAAAGTGGTTCCAAATTAGGTTTTACACCTACGGTAGGAGTCTTGAGCCGTGATTCTGAGATTTTTTGGCGAAGCATTATCTCTTTGGGCACCCACACGCTGCCAGCGTGTGTGGCGGCACGTGGGCACTGTAGCAAAGGGGCATTCTATCCTAAAATTATCTCCCGGTTCTCACGAGCATGTAGGTACTTTCGGATTCCAATTCGGATAACTCCTAGCAAGGCGTTTTACGATAACCGTTCAATCGTGCGATCGCGAGCGATCCGACTGTCCGATCTGAACCAAACTTGCAGGACGTATTTTCTAAACCTTGTGGAACTCATAGGAACGTTCGGATCTTAAAACAGAGGTCGTGGTTCCCACGGGCCCGGTTGACCAAATTTGGAAGGTTTGACCATCGGTTGACTGTGAGTCTTCCGAGGTAGTTTCACCCTTTGTGAAGTGCTAGCACGACCGAGTGAACGAGTCTTGACCGTTATTGGAGTTATTTTTTATTATATTGGGAGTATGAGCTTGTTTATATTACCTTATTGAATTCTTAGATATTATTGCGATAATTGAAACTTTGGAATAGATGAGTTTGGGATACTTGAATTATTGGTTGTGAAAGTAAGTCATGAAACTCGACTATGATTATTAGGAAGTGAGTGGGCATTGCTTTCAAATAAATGGCATGGTTTTGTGATGGTAATATTATGCATATGAATTTAATGGTTTATCGGAATTCATTTTATAGTTAATAGTTGAATTTATTATTTTTGTAAAGTATTTGTGATATATGTGGGTCGTGACATATTTGAGTATCTGGAGTTATATATATACAATACTTGAGAAAGTGCTATCTTTGTTGAATATGTGTGGGGTACTTGGGATGCTGTTGTGAGATGAGGAAAGATGTGAGATTAGAATGTTTGTTTGAGTGCTATTAGCACTACCTTAGGTACCTCCCCAGTTATGGATTATATGCTTGAGAGGTTTTGGTCTCTACTATGAATAGGTAAAAATGGGAAAAATTAAATTAAGGGAGGGAATATTATCTTTATAATATTTATATAAGGGTTACGAACTTGTTGCATTCCTAAAAGGACACAAATTAATGTGCAAACAACCAATTAAAAATACCCGCAAGTGCACGAATCTATTGAAGTATAGATTATGTAAGTACGGGGTCGATCCCACGAAGAACTTGTCGGCTTCCTATAAGTTCTAATTTGAGTACAAAGAGAACACTTAATTAACACACCACAAATGCACAAATGAAAGAGGGAAACTAGAAATGAGTAAAGAAGTGTAAAAGAAATAAAACAACACAAGAAAACTAAAGAAAAACACAAACAGCACTTTTTATCACCCTTTTATCACCTATGAACAGTGCTAAAGCGACCGGTCGTGAGGCAGAAGCGACCGGTCGTTTTTGGGCAGAGTCGAAACTCAAATTTTGACGTGAAAAGCGACTGGTCGTCAGGTAAAAGCGACCGGTCGTTTTTGCACAGAGTCGTTTTCTCTGTTTTTCAGTTTCGACCTCTGTCCAGTGTTTTGCCAATAACTTTCCAAGGCAGTTCGTTCCTAATTGGAGTGGTTGGTGTATTCCATACTTCTAGCGATTGGATTTCACTCA